CATCATCTAATGAGATGATCACATGGTTCTTTTCTTTCAGTTTGTTTATATTGTGGATTACATTGTCAGAGTTTCATATGTTGAACCACCCCTGCATCTCTGGGATGAAACCCACTTGATAATGGTGAGTGATCTTCTTGATGTGTTCTTGCATTCAGTTTGCCAGTATTTTTGCATCAATGTTCACGAGGGAGATTGGTCTGTAATTCTCTTTCTTTTTTGCATCTTTGTGTGGTTTGGCTATCAGGATAACTATAACCTCATAAAAAGAGTTTGGCAATGTTCCTTCTGTTTCTATTGTGTGGGAAAACTTGAAGAGTATTACTATTAGCTCTGCTTTGAAAATCTGGTAGAATTCTGCGCTGAAACCATCTGGGCCTGGGCTTTTCTTGGTTGTGAGACTTTAAATGATTGCTTCTATTTCCTTAGGGGTTATAGGCCTGTTTAAATTGTTTATATGATCTTGGTTTAATTTTGGTATGTGGTATCTCTCAAGGAAATTTGTCCATTTCTTTTAGATTTTCTAATTTTGTGGAATACAGGTGTTTTTTTTTTCCTTCTAGAGCTGAGGACCGAACCCAGGGCCTTGTGCTTGCTTGGCAAGTGCTCTACCACTGAGCTAAATCCCCAACCCTGGAATACAGGTTTTTGAAGTATGACCTAATGATTGTCTGGATTTCCTCAGTGTCTGCTGTTATGTCCCCCTTTTTATTTCTGATTTTGTGAATTTTGATATTCTTTCTCTGCCTTTTAGTTAGTTTAGATAAGGGTTTATCTATTTTGTTGATTTTCTCAAAGAACTAACTCTTTGTTTCATTGATTCTTTGTATTGTTCTCTTTGTATCTTATTGATTTCAGCCTCAGTTTCATTATTTCCTGTCATCTACTCCTCCTGGGTGTTTGCTTCTTTTTGTTCTAGACCTTTCAGGTGTGCTGTTAAGTCACTAGTATGAAATTTCTCCAAATTCTTTATGAAGGCACTTAGTGCTATGAATTTTCCTCTTAGCTCTGCTTTGATTGTGTCCCATAAGTTTGGGTATGTTGTGCATTCACTTTCATTGAATTCTAGGAAGTCTTTAACTTCTTTATTTTTTCCTTGACCCTGTGATAATTCAGTTGAGAGTTGTTCGGTTTCCATGGGTTTCTAGGCTTTCTGTAGTTTGTGTTATTGTTGAACTCAAACTTTAATCCATGGTGATCTCATAAGGTACAGGAGGTTATTCCAATTTTTTTTTGTATCTGTTAAGAGTTGTTTTGTGACCAAGTAGATGGTCAATTTTAGAGAAGTTTCCATGAGGTGCTGAGAAGAAGGTATATTCTTTGGTGTTTGGGTGAAACCTTCTGTAGATGTCTGTTAGGTTAATTTGAGTCATAACATCTGTTAGTCCCATTATTTCTCTGTTTAGTTTCTGTCTGGATGACCTGTCCATTGATGAGAGTGGGGTATTGAAGTCTCCCACTATTAATGTGTGGTGTTCGATGTGTGATTTAAGCTTTAGTAATGTTTCTTTTACAAATGTGGGTGCCCTTGTATTTGGGGCATAGATGTTCAGAATTGAGACATCATCTTGGTGGATTTGTCCTTTGATGCATATGAAATGTCCTTCTCTATTTCTTTGGATTAATCTTTGTTTGACGTCTATTTTGTTAGATATTAGGATAGCTATACCAGCTTGCTTCTTCAGTCAATTTGATTGGAAAATCTTTTTCCAATCCTTTACTCTGAGGTAATGTCTGTCTTTGATGTTGAGGTATATTCCTTGTATGCAGCAGAAGGATGGATCCTGTTTTCGTATTCATTAGCCTGTATCTTTTTATTGGCGAACTGAGTCCATTGATACTGAGAGGGATTAATGACTGGTAATTGTTATGCTTGTTATTTGTTGTTGTTGTTGTTGGTGGTGGTGGTGGTGGTGGTGGTGGTGTGTGTGTGTGTGTGTGTGTGTGTGTGTGTGTGTGTGTGTGTGCAGCTGAAGAGATGACTCAGCTGTTCAGAGCACTGGTTGCTCTTCCACAAGACCTGCCTTGAATTCCTGGCATCTACATGACCCCTCACTGTTGCTAGAGTTTTCCTGCCTGGTCCACAGTCAGGGCAAATCTCTCTCACCCGCCAGTCCCGCAGCCTCTCAGACCCAACCAAGTAAACACAGAGACTTATATTGGTTGCAAACTGTATGGCCGTGGCAGGCTTCTTGCTAACTGTTCTTACAGCTTAAATTAATCCATTTCCATTAATCTATACCTTGCCACATGGCTCCTGGCTTACCGGCATCTTCACATGCTGTTTCTCATCATGACGGCTGGCAGTGTCTCTCTGACTCAGCCTTCCACTTCCCAGCTTTATTCTCCTCCTTGTCCCGCCTACACTTCCTGCCTAGCCAATGGCCAATCAGTGTTTTATTTATTGACCAATCAGCAACACATTTGCCATACAGAACATCCCACAGCACCTCACAGTCATCTGTAACTCTGGTTCTAGGTGATCTGACGCCCTCTTCTGGCCTCCACAGGCACTAGACATGCACATATACATGTAGGCAAAACACTGATACTCATATGTAAACTGAAAAGCAATTTTAAAATATATAATGTTAGTTAACTCCACATCCTTATCCTTTAGTTTTGTGTCCTCTAAGAACGCAATGTGCTGTGTTCTCTCCTTCATTCAGTAGCTCAGAGAAGAGAAAAATACGATCATTACCTTCAAACCGTACTTACCATCATGTACAAGATGCATGATAAGGAACTGTACCCACAGCCAAATTCCTCAGGTCCGTGTGCTTCTGTGCCCCTCCCTCTGGCTCTACTCACAGTCCTCTAAATGGCAAGGATCTGCTTTCTAAATCCAAGGATTAGAATTTGAAACTAATCATTTTTACCTAGTTTTACATAGTCTGAGTAAAGCATTATGACTTTTTCTTTTTCCAGATATCTACAAAGTGGCTTATGACAATCATGTGAATAGAAATATTACTGACTGGACAAGCATGTCATGTGCAAAGCAATGTGTCAAGACAGAAAAAGTACAAGGTGCAGAGATGCACTGTTTTCAAGAGGTTCCTTTCCTTCCCTTTCCTTATCTGCTGTTGAACCCAGAGCCTTGTATGTGCTCGGCATGTGCTCCATCACAGAGCTACACCCCTAGTCTTAAGGGATTTTATATTCTTGACACAACTTGAAATAACTGAAAAAATGAGAAAGCGCCTGAGTTTTCCCTCACGGTGTAAGGGTTGCTCCCCTGCCGAGTTTCCAGTGCTGCCTGTGCCTGGTGCTGCTTAGCATTTCTAACTACTGGGTCTTTCCACCGTGTGCTGTCTCTTCCAGCTTGGAATTGTACCGTTTGGAGGTTTTATGACATTTTCTTTGGTGTTGTCACCTCTTTCAGATTGTTGTCTCCTTACTTGTCATGTCAGTTTATGCAAGGAATATATATTTGTTTTGTTTTGTTTTTTTTGAGACAGGGTTTCTCTGTGTAGCTTTGGTGCCTGTCCTGGAACTCACTCTGTAGCCCAGGCTGGTCTTGAACTCACAGAGATCTACCTGCCTCTGCCTCCCGAGTGCTGGGATTAAAGGCATGCGCCACCACCGCCCAGCTGGCAAATTATATTTTATTTCTACTTATTTGCACTGAAAAGCAGTCATTTGGGGAAAAAAAAGTAGACAAGAATGGAAACTAAGACCCTGAAAAGAGCATTCTGCATATGCCCAAAGCAGAATCCTTGGCCTCCCTACATCGCCCAGGCTGGCATTGAATTCAGGGCCTTGTGCATTACAATGGAATCCTATATTTCCCCCTAAATAGCAATGGAAAGTGGTGGTTTGGAGTATTTAAGGCAAAAGACTGACCACATGACTTCCTGTGGTTTTGTTTACTTTTAGATTACAAATAAGCAAAGCCAAAGTTCTCAGCTTGAGAAGAATTTGTGCCAGTTTTCTTTATTTATTTTCCAAAAACAGGGTCTCTCTGTGTAATTAGACTAGCCTAGAATTCATGAGCCTTTTGTCTCAGCCTCCAGTATGCAGGGATTTACAGGCATGTACCACCATGCCTGGCCAGTTAATCTTTTTTAAAAAGCAAGCAGTGACTAACAGTTCAGAAACTTAAGACAGGGAATGAAAGGTAAACATCAGCTACTGATAGTGTATGACACAGAAACGATGGAAATCATGTTGCTCAGTGTACTGTTTGTTTGAATTTTCCTGGTCCTTCTCACTCTATCCCTCCCACAAGATGCCTGTTTTCATTACAACAGTCTTTTGTTGGAAAATAAAAAGAAAAGCACAATTTGAACCAATTTTTAAGATACTGAACCACTGATTGAGGACGCAGCTCTGGGCTGACATCTCATTGTTTTACTCACAGCTCTGGATCCAGACACATTTCTTTTTTTTTTTTTTTTTTTTTTTTTTTTGGTTTTTCGAGACAGGGTTTCTCTGTGTAGCTTTGCGCCTTTCCTGGAACTCGCTTTGGAGACCAGGCTGGCCTCGAACTCACAGAGATCCGCCTGGCTCTGCCTCCCGAGTGCTGGGATTAAAGGCGTGCGCCACCACCGCCCGGCCTCAGACACATTTCTTAACTAGCCTCATTTCTCATAGTAAAAGTAGCTCTCATTCCATAGGGCTATTTGAGGATTGAGACAAACACATATGAGGTAAAGATATGAAAAGATCTAATCTGAATTACACATATAAAGTGTGCACACTTTAAGGTTGGCTGAGGATTCGTGTTGTCTGCCTTCTACCCTCTGCTCCCAAGAATGTGTTACGTCATGTGGCAAAGACTTAATGTTGCCTATGGAATTAAGTTTGTCTACCAGCTGTCAATAAGAAAGAGATTATTCCTGGTGGGCCCAGTGACTATAAGGATCCTAAAAAAAAATGGGAAAGGGAGTAAAGGGTGAGAAAAAGGAGATGCTGCTGCCTAGCACACATGAAACCCAGTGCTGCAAAAGAAGAAGAGAAAAAGCAACACACAGAAGTCAGTAGCTTTTCTTTCTTTTTTTAATATGGAACACTCTTATGAATTTTTGTTGCATTCTTGAACAGGATCCATGCTAATCTTCTCTGTATCGTTCCAATCTTTTCGTATATGTGCTGCCAAAGCCAGCACATAAGTAACTTTTCAATACACTGACAACTAATTTGCTAAGAGGAAAGCAACTGTCCCACTCAGGACAGCTTTTAAAATATGCGAATAACCCAAGGAAGAAAAGGGCCTCTGTAACTGGGAACTTTGAGAGACCGAAAGGAAGAAAGCGAAGATTCTAGGAGGTGGAAAGGTCTCCCATGCTCATGGACTGGCAGAACTAGCATCGTGGAAACGGCTATGGTATCGGCTATGGTACCGAAAACAATCTACTGATTCAAAGCAATCTCCATCACACTTCCCCTGAGTTCTTCCCAGCACTGGGCGAGACAATGCTAAAATTCATGTGGAAGCTCTGAATAGCTAAGGCATGCCTAGTGGAAAGAGCCATGCTCAAAACATCACAATATGAGATTTCAAATTACATTATGGAGCCACAGTAACAAAGATAACATGGTAGAGCCCCAAAACAGATCTGTAGACCACCGAAATAGAATAGAGGACCCAGAAATAAACCACACGGCTACAGCCACCTAATTTCTGACAAAGTAATGCAGTCCAGGGGGGCCAGCTCCCAGAACTGCTCCAGGGTAGTGAAGAGAGGACCTCAGAGTAGCGGGACTTTAGGAAACTTTTGTATCTGAGGGTCTTTAGAAATAAGTTCCTCTCTATCTGAGGGGAAAAAACAAGGAAATGCATACGCTTTCTGATGGTACCTTTCTCTTTTACTTCATCTTAAATAATCTTCTCAGAGAATCTCTGTTCCACACTGCTACATTCTTTTTTTCTGTTGTTTGTTTTTTGTTTTTCCAGACAGGGTTTCTCTGTGTAGTTTTGGAGCCTATCCTGGAACTCTCTCTGTAGCCCAGGCTGGCCTCGAACTCAGAGAGATCCACCTGGCTCTGCCTCCCGAGTGCTGGGATTAAAGGTGTGCACCACTGCCAACCAGCTACTGCTACATTCTTTAAATACAGCTATATATCTCTCTTTACATACATACATCTCTCTCTTACATGGCCATACATCTCTATACACAGTTATATCTATTTTCACATGGCTGCACATTTTTCTTTTACATACATTCTCTTTTACATCTCTTTTCTATACAGCTTCACCTCCCTTGTCTCCACACAGTTACAAATCTCCACACAGCTAAACATCTCATTTACATAGCTCTCACCATGCAGCTCTTTACACAGCGCTCTCTCTCTCTCTCTCTCTCTCTCTCTCTCTCTCTCTCTCTCTCTCTCTCTCTCTCTCTCTCTCTCGTCACACACACACACTTCTACATCATTCACTCACTCTTTACTCACTTTTTCACTCACTCAGTCTCTCACATTTCTCTCTCTGCCCACTCAACTACATCCTTCACTCAGCACACACACACACACACACACACACACACACACACACACACACACACACGCATTCTTTGCACAGCTCTTACATAGCTCTACACAGCCACCTCTCTACACCACCACTCCTCTCACAGCCAAACTCTGGACAATTATATGTTACATTTTCAGGGCCCGACCCATTCTCATAACACAAGATAAGTCACACAGTTTCTCTTAGGCTAGGAATGTCACATTGATGACCAGTGAGTGATGCTTGGCCATGCACATAGCTCTACGTTGGTGAGGATTCCCAGACAGAAAGTTAAACAGTTGGCTGAACCTTGAGTCTGTGACATAAACTGAGGCTGGAACTACGTGCAAAAAGTCAGTTACCGTAGAGGGTTATGTCTACCAAAGTTGCCTCATGTCTGACCTTGATTCAGCAACAAACACCACCTGGGGATTCATCCTTGCGTATTTATCTCCAGGGCAACCAGTTTGCTTTGAATATGTTCTGAAGCCGAAAATTAGCTCTCTGTGACAGAAAATGTTGCTGCTTTCCTGTATCAGTTATGAAAAATATTCTAATATTATTAGAATTATACAGCTTACACAGAAATCATCTTTCTGACCATCCACAGCTGTAAGTGTGCCCAAAAGACATAAAGCACACTACCGATGGGCTGTGGAAGGAACCTCACAGCTGTTCTTATCGGGAGGCATAGTGGTGGCACGTGAGAAAGTTAGAGACAGAAAACAACCGTTTCCACGTGAACCACGGTCAACCAGTGACCCCACGGACTTTGCCTAGTGGGGCTCCCCGACAGAGCGTTATTCACCTGGTGGGTTGACCTGTTGGACACTAGTTGTCACCTGCTGTATACTCCCATGGCCTCCTGCAACAAAGATGTCAAAAACGGCTGCGCTGCTGGGAGGGCTGCGGATCCGGCTGCGCGATGAGCCAGGGGCCATGAGAGGTGAGAGTTACAAGCTGCACAGCTGATTAAGTAGCAGAGGAGATTAGAACTCGGTTTCCTGCCTCCCAGGATTGTTAGATGTTGCTCGAATTGCTAAATGGTCTTATAATAAAAACCGGGAGCCAGATATTGGGGTTGATGCTGAAAGATCGGAGAGACAAAGGAACAAGCCGCTGCCATGTCTCGCCTCGCCAACTCCACGAATCCTCTGACTGAATGCCTCTGAGTCCTCAGCCGGAAGGCCTCAGCCAAAAAGTCTCCAGCCGAAAGGGGCTTCAGCCGAAATGGGCTTCAGCCGGAAAACTTTTAGCTGAAAGGGCTTTCAGTTGAAAAAAGGATTTAGTTCCCGTCTCCTCACGTCTTATATACCTTTCTCTGCCCAGCCATATTACTTCCTTCCTAGTGCTGGGATTAAAGGCGTATGTGCGTCCAAATACTGGTAGCAGAGGCATGAGATCTCAAGTGCTAGGATTAAAGGTGTGTGCCACCACTGCCTGGCCTCTATGTCTAATCTAGTGGCTTTGTTCTGTCCTCTGATCTTCAGGTAAATTTTATTAGGGTACAACAAAGTATCACCACAGTTAAACATGAGTCTGTAGAAGCAAACCCCTAGGCTTAAAACAAATCAATGGACGGCCAGTTGTGGTGAAACTAAATTCTGGAGTGGATTATCGAGGGGTTCTGGCCTGCCTGGATGGCTACATGAATATGGTACTGGAACAGACAGAAGAGTATGTAAGTGGACAGCTGAAGAATTAAGTATGGGATGCGTTCACCTGAGGAAACAATGTGCTGTACATAAGTACACAGATGTGAAGACACCAGGAAGCAGCTCTCCTCAGAGTTGGAGAGAGTTAATTGTGAAGTGTTTTGTCCTGTTTTTTGTTCTTTTATGATCTTCGTTGGCCTGTTTTCATAGTGGTTGGTGCAATTTCCACAAATTGTTTTTTATAACCTCTTATGTGCTGTGACACTCACGCACACAAACACATAATGAATGTGAAAATTAGAACCTTTGTCCTTGTGTTCTAGTGTCTTTGGTATGGGAAGGTGTTCTGCAGGCTACCAAAAGAGAAACATAAACACCAACCCAACCACAAAACCTTAGATCTATAATCTATCCTCCCTGCAAAATATGCTAGGGCAATGGTGGCACAAAGCTTGTGGGAATAATCAACCAATATTGATTTGACTTAAGGCCAACTCCATGAGATGGAAACCATACCCAACACTGCTTGGGTGATCAAGAAACAGAGACCAGATAGCCCAGAGACTGAGGGTAAAACCAAATACTACTGCTCTTAAAAAAAAAAAAAAAAAAGAAAAAAGAAAAAGAAAAAACAATAAGATGACCCCAATGACATTCTGCTATACTCTTAGATCAGTGCCTTATTCAGCTATCCTCAGAGACTCTTCCTCCAGCAGCAGATGGAGACAAATACAGAGACCCCCAACCAGACATTTCACAAAGAGATCTTGGAACACACAGCTCTAAATGAGATGCCTCCATCAAATCCCTCCCCTTAGAGCTCAAGGAACCCCAAAGAAGAGGAGGCAGAGCCAGTGGGGATGGAAGACAACCAGAAAAAAACCAGCCCTCTAGATCAACTGAGCAAAGCTCAGATAAACTCACAAAGACTGATGCATCAAGCTCAGGGCCTGCATGCATCTATACCAGGTGCTATGCATATATATATATATATATATATATATATATATATATATATATATATATATTACAGCTTTCGGTTTTTTTTTTTTTTTTTTTGGTTTTTTTTTTTTTTTTTTTTTTTTTTTTTTTTGGTTTTTTTTTTTTTTTTTTTTTTTTTTTTTTTTTTGGTTTTTCGAGACAGGGTTTCTCTGTGTAGCTTTGAGCCTTTCCTGGGACTCGCTTTGGAGACCAGGCTGACCTCGAACTCACAGAGATCCGCCTGGCTCTGCCTCCCGAGTGCTGGGATTAAAGGCGTGCGCGCCACCGCCCGGCTCGGTTTGGTATTTTATGGGGCTCCTGAGCTAATAGGTCTCAGATTCCTGTGCCTGCTCTTGGGCTCTTTTCCTTCTGTTGATTTGCCGTGTCCTACTTTGATGTGATGGGTTTTATTTATCTTATTTTATTTTGTTATGTTTGATTGTTATCACTTAGAAGCCTATTCCTTTCTAATGAGAGACAGAAAGGGAGCAGATTTGGATGGGAGGAAAGGTAGAGAGGAACCAGGAAGAGCAGAGGGAGGGGAAACTAATCAGGATATATTTTTTAAAAAAAATAAAGAAAAAAGATATAGGCACAAAGACTTTCTGATCAGGACTCCAATAACACAGGGGGAAAAATCCTAAAGAATTGACAAATGAAGCCAGCCAGATATGATTGCACACACCTTTAATTCCAGCACTTGGGAAGCAGAGGCAGGAGGATCTCTGTGAGTTTGAAGCCAGCCTGGTCTACATAGGTAGTCTACAAGTGCCAGGACTATATTGAGAGACCCTGTCTCAGAAAACAGACAAACAAACAAAAAATTTGACAAATGACATGAAATTAACTTCTACACAGGAAAGGAAACAATCACCCAAATGAAGAGCCAGCCTAAAGAATGAGGGATAATATCTAAGATATATAAAGAACTTCAACAGCAAATTGCCACAATCCAAATCATCTAATAAATAAATGGGCCAATAAATTGAATAGACAGTTCTGAAAGGAAGAAATACAGATGA